TTATTCCATTACTTACTAATATCTGAAACCAGACTAAGAGATGGTATAAGCTGAATGGGTGGAGGGCAGGATAGAAGTGTAATTGAATGAATTCTTTTGGATATATTTTGTTCACTTATTTGTTTCTTTTGTTAATGGATTCATTTCATCTGATATTGTGTGTGACAAAAGTATTATAGTAATTTATTAAAATTGTGAGTGAGAAAAAGATAGAGGTGTTTTTGTTTTGTTTTTGTGCCAAAGGATCAGCCCTAGGATGGAGCATTTTTTAAAAATGTATTAGAAAACCAGAATCTGAACTATCCCACATGGTCATCACCTTCTTAGCTATTCCTCCGTTAGTGTCCCTTCTCGAGGACAGTCAATGGAGTCAGGGCATGGTGTGTCTCCAGCTAGATCCACCAGGGGTGGGAGAGATGGCATTTATTCAAAAAGCAATTTGTCACAACTTAGATCTAGCTTTAATAGAACAGGGAGTAAGAAAAAGCTATGAAGAAGACATAACATGAGCAGAGGGCAATTACAATGGCCCTCATTTGAGTTAGAAGGTAGGAAATGGTTCTTAACTTTCTGTTTGTGTTATTAAAAGCACAATCTGGCTTAGCAACCAAATTTTAAAACAACTTGAAAGAAAAGTTCAGTGGGTTGACAAGAGCTATACACCTTGTAATTAATCACAGAACTCATACTTGGGTGGATAAGAACTTGTTGGCTAAAACATTAAAAATAACCATTTCAGAGGAGCCGTACTCCACATGAGAGAAAGCAACCACAGTGGCTTAGTGTAGATGTGCTTCAGGGAGGGCAGAGGCAACTGGCTTTTAATCAGATACATTTTGCTATCATATATAATATGTTATTTACTGCTCTACTGGGCTTTCTGTTCCAGAAACTTATGATTCAGGCTATAGTTTTTAGACTCTTCTAAAGGGCAAGAACAATATTTCTTTTGTTTAAGATCTAGCTCGTTAACTATTTTTATACACACATACAAAATATCTCCAAAGGACACCACCGGGCAGTTATCCAGCTGTCTTTCTCCACCCTTCTTTTCCTATTTATAAAACCCTGATTTTGTTTGCTTACAATGAACCTAGCCACAGTAAAAGAAACATGGTGGGTCTAATGCCCTTAAGGGCCATAGCCACTTCTGCTAGATATTTGTTTTCCCAGGTTCCCCTGCAGTGAGTGGTGGCCATGTGACCCAATTTGAGCCAATCAGATGTTAGGGGAAATCTCTAGGGAATTTCTAGGTAATGTTTTGATTTCTGACAAATGAGTTAGGCATTTAAGAAGATTTTCTTAGGGTGCCTCTTCTTTCCTTCTTCTGTCTGAGATATTGATGTTAGGGACTGATGCCTGTAGCTGAAACATACATAACTACGATTTTCTGCGTGAGGCAACAAGCATGATGGAAGATGAAGATAATGTCAAAGATGCTGACCCAGAGCACTGACATTGTCCAGCCACTCAATAAGCCCTGGGATTGCTTTCAACTTACTCCTGTTAAATTAACAATAAATAGACTTCTGATTTAAACCAATGTCTGTTGGGGCTTCTAGTATTTACAAGTCAGAACATCTCAGCCAGTACAATTCCTTTCCTCTCAGGACATAGATTTTTATTGCTTTATCACGGTATCATGGAGATGATTCTTCAGCTTCTCTTTCTGGTTTGTTAAGCTAGTTTTTTGTTTGTTTGTTTTAAATTAATTTATTTATTAATTTCATGGGGGAGACAGAGAAAGGAAAAGAGGGAGCAATAGAGAGAGAGGCACCGTCAACAGAGTTCCAATGTTGTTATCCACTTGCAGTTTCAGCCAGCCCAGATCATGGGCACACACACATGTGCCTGACATGATCAGGGCAGTCCCTGGATGTTAACTCAGGACCTTCCCTAATTGGGTCCAGTTGCATTACTGCTATACTACTACTTAGCCCCTGATTCAGGTTTTTGTTTTTATGAGAGAAAGAGGAAGAGTATTTTTTTAAAGAGAGGCTTTTGCTATAGGGCTATAATTTTGCTATAGAGAGATAGAAAGTGAGAAATCACCACCACCACCACCCCCTAGGGGGGTTGGCCACACAGTAATCCCTTCTCCTCTATTCTCCTCTCAGGTTTTTGGGCGTACACACACACACACACACACACACACACACATGCCTGAAGTGAGTTTTAAGCCACTAGGCACAGAACTTGAACCGCAGTGGACTTCGTGGGAGTCCAGCAACATAACAATTACGCCGTCTTCCGGTACTAGGGGAAAATATTTTTGACAGGATTTTGATCCTCTGTCCCAGCCTCCCAGTTAGCCAGGATCAGAGATGTGTACTATTGTGCTCGGTCTGGTCAGGTGAGTCTGGGATCTGAACCCCGGCCTCCCATGTGGCCTCAGCTTTGCACAGTGTCACCCTACCACTTGTGCCACAGTAGCTGGGCCTAATCCAGTTTTATATACATTTTAAGTAGTTGGCATCTGTGTGAAAAAGATAGAATTTTTTTTCATGACATCTATCAATAATTACTTATGTGTTAACTCTCCTAATGGCAATATTAACCATAAACATTCACAGTATTGCAGTATTTGCAGCTAGGAATTCTGATAAGCATTCTTCATCTGGAAGGTCGGGTCTATGAATACAGCATTATTGTTCCCATGTTGATGAGTCAACATTGTGATTGTGTGTATTTGCCCCAAAACAGTAATTTCTTATTGGACTTCAAAGTCTACATGCTACTTCCATATATATTAATTCAATTGATTCTCACAACCTCACAACACAGATCTTATTTTTTTCCTGTTTTATAGATAAGGACACCAAGACTGAGGAAAACTAAGTGACTTGTTAATTCAATAAATACCTGGAAGAACTTGGATTTAGATCAAAGCCCATGCTCTTGCACAATAGCATGTCTTGAAGAACAGCCACTTGGAGAGGGTCTTGTTTTCAATCTTCAACCCAATGTCCTCAGATATCTTGACATATTTGTAGTTATTGAATTTCATAGAACTTCAAAGTATAAAATGGATTTCCCATATCTGTAATAAATTTCTGCCCTAAGGAACAAAAACAATGAAGTTTTAGAACTGACTTAAACACATTTCACAAAGCCCCAAAAGAGCACCAGAGTGATACATACAGATGTTCTTTTTAGAAATTCTTTTTATCTTGGGATCGATAGGTGGCGTGGTAGTTAAGGATGCTGGACTCCCACATGGTCGGTCAACTGCAGTTCAAGTCCCGGACCTGATGACTTTGCTTTCTCAGTTTCTTTCTCTCTCACACATACTTTGTCCCTCTCTGATCAAATTAAAATAAATAAATAAAAGTTAAATAAAATAATTAAATTGTTTTTTCTCTGTATTCATGGAAGGGCACATCCATGCACACCTGAGAGAGAGAGAGGAGCACCCTCCCCAGGATCTGTTCTCACCCCATGATCCCCTTTCTCTCATCCTCCAGCTAGTCATATGATGGACACTCAAGCATGTACCTGGTGTGATTCTGGCTGATCACGCTGGGGATTTATAGAGCAGTTACCATGTAGGATCGGGTGGCCAGAGGTGTCCTTTTTCCTGGATCTTCCACAGAAAATGTTCTTACTATTATTACCTAAGTCATATTATTGGGTCGTCAGGAAAGTCCTGATGCATTTTTACATAGAAAAACACACCATGACTTTCCCGACAACCTAATAGAATGAACATGTAAGTTCACCCAGGACAGAGATCCTATCTTTGCTATGTTTGTGTAGCACAGTGTCTGCCACATAGTAGGCTCTCTACACTTATTAAGTGAACAAAAACTTACTGACCTAATTCTTCAAAGGCACAGAAATACTCTATAGGAACCACAATAACAAAACACAGTTTGTTGTGTCAAAAAAGTTGCTCCGTGCAGTTTCGAGGAAAAAACATTGTAAGTAGCCTCAAGGTGAAGTTTCTTCACACTTTTTCTTGAACTGGAGGAATTATCCAAAAACAAGAGGAAAGCAATTAGTTTTTTCAGTAGTAATTGTAGTTTCTAGAAATAGTGTATCCATCTTCCGTTGGGAACTGTCTTGTTTCTAATCACTTTTCTCCTCTTGCTGGATTAGTTTGGAAACATTATTGTCTGAGTTTAGTGCATGCCTTTGGTTTTTAATATTGCAACCACATCACAACAGGTAGTGAAGGAAAACAACTGGACTGAGGAAAGCTGTGCACCCATTAAAGTGTTGAAAGAGTGAAATTGTATCTCAGAAAATCTTACATTTCTGTGAAAGTTTTAAGAAAAAAGATTTACTTTTATTTCCCGAGAAATCTGTGTTGCTGGTGTTTTTGAAATGTACTTCCATTTTTATTGAACTTGGTTGCTCTAATAAAGGAAAGAGCTCATAATAAGGGAATGCTCATGAATTATCATTGCATTTGTTTGATTTGATCCAATGTAGGAAAAAATACTACAAATAATGTTCATACGTGGATTTTGTTTTTTACAGTCTATTCAGATTTATTTGGTGGTTGAATTCCTTTTAAAGGAATTCCTTTTTAAGGAATGATAAATGATCAGTGAAAAATTTGAGGCACTAAAAAATCTGAATTCGCTTTGCAAACATCAGCTAACAAGAAAGCCAGGCAGCCTAGAGGGACTAAAATATAGGCCATCCCATGACCCAGAGAAGACATGGATAGCTATAGTCATCACAACATTAGAAAGGGGAATCTTGCTATTAATAGTAACATGCAAGAAAACTAACGTGTGCTGCCGATAATCTGGTATCTCTTCACATTTGTATTCCTGGGATGAAATTCTTGAGAAAAAAAATAGAGCTGTGAAAATAGGTGTTTCTGCTTCATAATAGTATGACTCTGATCGGCTTCAAGTCATTTACACACAACAATACATGCTGCTTCACCAGGTGGGTGCAGGGTGAGCTTATAGAAACCTACACTTGCTCAGTTTTTTATTTCACCTCATGACCTCTGCCATATTTTGTTTCTCTTTATTTTGAAATAGCAATGCAGTACACTGGCCACATTGAGGAGAAGACTACTGATTGTGATGAGAGCAAAAGAGGACCTACCCAGTCTTCCAAACCTGCATCTTTATCTGTGGCAACCATTTCCCACGTATTTACTTATATGAAATGCACAGAGTGTAGAACTTCATACTAATATTGAGTAATTGCTACAGGAGACAAATTACCAATCTTCATGTGGAAAGGTAAGGCATGATTCCCAATCTTTTAAAAATATATATGTTTAGGGGCTAGCAGTGGCATGGAGATTAGGACAGCTGGATCCCACATGGCTGACTGGAGTCCCTGACCCAGCAGCTTGAAAACTCACTGGGTATGTATGCATGTGGATCCAAAATTCCAAGAGAAAAATGGGGCAGAGGGTTTTGTGGTGTGGTCATCTCTGCCACGCCCCAGGCAGGGTAGTTTTTCACTTTTTCTCCCTCTGTTTCTCTAGCAAGTGTGTATGCCCTACAGCAAAACCAAGGTGGAAAAAAAGAGAAAAATGTGTGTGTCTATACTTTTTGCTATTATAATTAAGATCTTTAAATGGAACCACAATATATAAAACACTTGCAAGTAGTGTAGTTCTAGCTGAAGAAAGTGAGAAATAATCACCTCTCTTCCCTAAGATAGCCCTGGGCTTCTCCAGAGACCCATAACGTTCCCAGAAAGACAGTTTGAAGCTGTACCTGGATTTGAAAACCAGGCTCTAGAGTTGGCTCTACAACCAGAGCCATGCAATTTTGGAAAAGTGATTTTGCCCTTATGGGCCTCAGTTCCCTCACTTATAGGATGAACAATCTCTAAGAGTGCTTCTACTACTGATATTTCACTTTGATTTCTAAAATAACTATTCATACTAAGACTTTGCAAAGAAATCTTTTGGGAATAAAATATGAAGAAAGGTGCCTATTAGCATTAAAACTGATTTGAAACATAATGCACTTATTTATTCAAACACAAACACACACACACACACACACACACACACACATACGTATAGTAAAAACCGTCCAAACTCTCAGGTTTGCATTTCTTGATCTACAATCATCGTAGTCCATCTTCAACTTAAACCACAACACATATCAGATGGAATATTTATTATTTCATGTGTATGTAGCTGTCCATATCTTAAGGGTTTTAATACCATGCATATGTCGCACCATGGTGGTACAATGATAATGCAATGCTCTGCAAGGCTGAAGCACATGGGGAGGTCCCAGATTTGATTCCTGAAGTCTCCTTGTACATGCGTGACATGTGCATGTGTGCCCATAAATCTGGCTGGCGGAAGCTGGGGGTAGAGTGTGACACAAAGGCCCTGTCAGGGATCTCTCTCTCAGAAGAAAGAAGTAAACACACTTAAAAAATTATATGTGGGGAACCAGCAGTTAGCGTAATGGCTATGTCGCTGGACTCCCATGTAGTCGACCGCGGTTCGCGTCCCAGACCCAGTGGCTTAAAACTCAAGCCGGGCGTGGCGTGGCCATCCCCCCTGGGGGGGGTGATTTCTCGCTTTCTGTCTCTCTCTGTCTGTCTGGCGAGTGCACGCGCTCTATAGAGAAAACCTCTCAAAAAAAAAAAAAATATGTGAAGGACTAGCAGATGATATAACAGTTACATTGTTGGATTCCCACATGGCCGACAACAGTTCAAATCCCAGACAGACGGCTTGAAAATCATGTCAGGCATTTGTGTATGTGTGCCCAAAATCCCAAGAGAATAATGGTGGAGAAAGGATTGCAACATACTTTCCCCTTCAGAGAGTAATTTTTAACTTCCTTTCAGTCTCTCTCTGTCTCTGGTAAGTGCACATGCCCTATGGCAAAAACCTACCCAAAAAAGCACATATGTAATATTTTTCATCTCGCATTAGCAAATTAGCAGGTGTCTCATTTTCACCTGGAAAAGTTGCGATTAGTACTCTATATGACTATTACAATTTAGCCAGTGGTATTTGTTTGATTAGGCTACAACCTAGTAAAATACATATTTTTATTCTAAAAAGTATGCACTCACCTTACAAAATTCTTCACAAGTTGATTTTTTGTTTCCCTGCACAGCTGTTCTCTATTATGCAACCATGTTGTACAGTATTTGGCATATAAATAAGTGTTCAGCTATACCTAGTATAATTAGAAATGTTGTGGGTGTTGAGGAAATTGTAAGGGCAATGCTGAAGTCATTACCCAGGCTGGGCAAGGATAAATATGGTTGGAAGAAACTGGTGAACTAAGTAGGGACAAAGGGAGGTGTCAAAGGATTTTACATTGTAGTACTAATTCCACAGCAATGAGAAGGGCAGGATGGTCAAAGGGCGAAGATCAAAAGTTCAGGCCTCAGAGGTAGAAAAGAACTGAGTTATGAATTCCAGGTACAGACATGCAGTTGTATTTTTTTCTCTTTTGATTTTGTTTTTGTTTATTTTTGGAGAGGTTTATGCTATAGGGTGTGTGTGATCACCAGAAAGACAGAGAATGACAGAGAGACAGAAAGCGAGAAATCACCCCCAGGGTGATGGCCACACTGCAATCCCTTCTCCTCCATTCTCCTCTCGGGATCTTGGGCATGCGTGCTCATGTGCCCAATGTGAGTTTAAGCTCCTGGGTCTGGGACTTGAACTGTGGTTGACTACATGGGAGCCCAGCAACATAGCCCTTATGCCAACTGCTGGTCCCAGCAGTTGTATTGTTGAAGGAGAGTGCAGGAAGGGATTTCCGAAGTCAAGAGAAGGTGTAACTGGGCGCTTCACATACTGTCATGGAGGACCTAGAATGGCTAAAGCAGAACCTTAAAGAGCTCACACTTACACAGTTTGCCTCAAGTGTATAGTACCAGATGGCCACCAATCAGATAGGATTCCTACATCAACAGGCAGGTTGATGAAAATATGTCCATAGCTCCTACTTATTTCCAAAATTCTGTTATTTCTTCCAGGAAAAAAATATTAAGTAAATTTGCTATTGCACGAGGAACAAGCACTTTTAATTAGGAGTCAAAATGATTCCGAGTATATGTACAGCATTTGACTAGAGATACGAATGAACCTGCACAGTGATAGGCTTTTAAAGTTCCAAAAGTCATGGCTCTCCATTTCACAGAAAAGGAAACTGAGGCCCAGGAAGTGCACATGATTTACTTAAGGTCATGAGACAAGTTTGATGATTGTGGAACCTAGATTAATCTTTTCTTTCATTACACTGTGAGGCCTTTAAGCCATTTAACTTTTGTGCTGATCTGCGAATTAGAGATAATAGATGCCATTAGCTGGCCAGATCTGTGTGAACAAAGGGAATTGCATATCTGAGACAACTGTGTGGATAATTCCATTTCCTAAGATGCAAAATATGTTTTAATGAAAATATCTAGATAATTGAAACCTGACCATCTTATTTTAGAAGTTTTAAAAATATGTAATTACCCTATTTTCCCTTTCACCTTACTGAAGGCTCAATAAATAAAGATATTGATCTCATCAATATGAGGTTCCCATAATAAATAATTCAGTTTATAAATATACACAAAAAAGAGAAAAGTGACCAAATGTAATATCACTAATAACGGAACGATCTTCTCATTGCTATACACTGAGGAGAAAACAATATCTCTTATGTATTGGGTTGTCAGAAAAGTTATGACACATGGGAACCAGCAGTTAGCGTAATGACTATGTTGCTGGACTCCCATGTAGTTGACCGCAGTTCGCGTCCTGGACCCGGTGGCTTAAAACTCACGCTGGGCGCATGTGCGTGCATGCCCAAGATCCTGAGAGGAGAATGGAGGAGAAGGGATTGCGGCGTGACCATCCCCCCTGGGGGGTGATTTCTTGCTTTCTGTCTCTATGTCTCTCTCTGTCTGGCGAGCGCACACGCCCTATAGTGAAAATCTCTCCAAAAGAAAAAAAAAAAGTTATGACACATTTTTGCATAGAAAAACATGAAAAAATAGGTCACAACTTTTTTGACAACCCAATAGTATTCTTGCCAAAATTGTTTAATCGAGCCTAACCCTAAGGCCACACTCAGATATAACTGAAGGCTCAATAAATAAAGATATTGATCTCATCAATATGAGGTTCCCATAATAAATAATTCAGTTTATAAATATACACAAAAAAGAGAAAAGTGACCAAATGTAATATCACTAATAACGGAACGATCTTCTCATTGCTATACACTGAGGAGAAAACAATATCTCTTATGTATTGGGTTGTCAGAAAAGTTATGACACATGGGAACCAGCAGTTAGCGTAATGACTATGTTGCTGGACTCCCATGTAGTTGACCGCAGTTCGCGTCCTGGACCCGGTGGCTTAAAACTCACGCTGGGCGCATGTGCGTGCATGCCCAAGATCCTGAGAGGAGAATGGAGGAGAAGGGATTGCGGCGTGACCATCCCCCCTGGGGGGTGATTTCTTGCTTTCTGTCTCTATGTCTCTCTCTGTCTGGCGAGCGCACACGCCCTATAGTGAAAATCTCTCCAAAAGAAAAAAAAAAGTTATGACACATTTTTGCATAGAAAAACATGAAAAAATAGGTCACAACTTTTTTGACAACCCAATAGTATTCTTGCCAAAATTGTTTAATCGAGCCTAACCCTAAGGCCACACTCAGATATATATTGTGGAATATCCTAGAAAATGACAGGTCTAGATTCTTTTAGAAAATCAATGTTGTAAAAGAAAAATTTTTTTTAAGTGAAAGAGCTGTGTTAGGCAACAGAAGACAACAGTGAAATGCAATGCATGATTCTTGATAAAAGCCAGGTGAAAAAAAGAATCCAAAAGATCAGAATTGGGACAATTTTAAAAAATGTAATATATGCTGTATGTTAGATCATTTTATTTGTATCAATGCTAAATTTCTTGAGCACGACAATATTGTGGCTGTGTATGCTGTCCTTATTCTTAGGAGATGTGTGCTGAAGGATGAAGGGGTGAATGATGATGTCTGCAACTTATTTTTAGACTGTTAGTCGAAAAAGTGTAGGGTGTGTGTTCACAAATGGGGGAAAGTAGAGATGAAAAAGGGAGAGAGAGCATATGAGGTAAAACAGTAGCAATTGGTGATTCTAGGTGAAGGGTATAATGAGTCGTCATTATACCTGCAATTTTTAAAAATAAAAAGTTAGCCAAAAAAAAAAAAAAGAAGGAGGACTCCTCTATACAAAATATACTGGGCAGAGGGAAATGAATAAAATGGGA